TAAATAAACTGAGAATGAAAAAAAATCTAGAATACCTATTAGCTTGAAACAATTTCAGTTCTGTTTTTAATTGCTGATAAAAAATTTTCTTACATTGCTTTTCAGTTGGATTTCATACCCATTACAAAACTCTCCATCTCCTTCTTCTAATTTCCCTCTCAAGACCCCCTTTGTTCGAATAACCCTTCTATTCGAGTACCCTCAAAAATGGTTTCCCCTGTTTCAATCTATTTTTCTTTTTGCTGTTCGAAATGCCTCCCCTCTTGATGGATCCCCCTTCCTCCTTCTTTATGGTTGTCATCCTCACCGAATCCCCTTGTCCCTTTTTTTTCTTATGTTTTGGTAAGATGTTGATGGGTTAGGTGAGATTTGTTGGATTTGCTGACTTTGGTGATGGTTTAGGTAAAGTTTGAGTGGGGTTTGTTTGTAAGTGGGTGAATGGAATGGTGTTATTCACGTGGGGCATCGATTTTAATTAAAATAAGAAAATTGTGCTCACATCAATCTTAAGTGCCTTAAGCCTTAAAGCAAATGAAACATATTGTTAGCAAATTAGGCTCTATATACAACTGAAAATATAGCCAAGAGGGGATAAATTGGCTTTTTAAAAATTTGGGGATTGAGGAGAAATGATAAGAAAAATTAGGCACAATTATTTGTAGTGGTTTAACTTCCTCAATGAAGTTTATCCACTACCTTAGCTCCACACTAAGGATTTTTCAACAAATTCACAAATTTGTTCTTCCTTTTTCTAGGCTCAAGAGTAATCTTTACAAATTCTCTAGTTTTCAATAGCTAAACTAGAATCACTCCCCTTTTACAAAATGTTAAAGATGTGTAAACAAAAAAACCTCTAAAGGTATGTTTTTACAAAATTAAGCTCACTAAAACACATATGTACAAAAGAAAAGAAATAAAAAGATTGAAAGAGCTTTTCTCTTGATGTAGATTGCTTCGATAGGTGTTGTAACCTTCTACAAGTGTCATAGACTTGTTTTTATATGTTGGAATGAGTTTGTAGTTGTTTCTAGTTGTTGGAGATATTTTGGAGTCGTTGGGGATTATTTTTCTGCAAAATAAAACTACCCAGAACATGGAGTTTCAGTACTCGTGCTTAGAGTATCGGTATTGCCCTTATAACTTTTAAATAAACTAGCCGTTAATGATTGTTGGGCTACAACAGTATCGGTACTCGGGTTCATAGTATCGATGTTGTAGTGTAAAATAGTATCAATACCAATTTTGCTTACTTGAATTTGAACACCTTTGAAAACAATAGGCATTATCTGTACTACTAGATAAGTATCAATACCTCTCTTAGATTTGGTATCGATACTACAAGAATAGTATTAGTAATAATCATGCAATATCGATGCTATATACACTGAAAACTATTTTGTGTTCAAATTCTTATTTAATGGACTTTGAATTATTTTTTAAAAACTTTGAATAAATTTAATCAAATCCAAAAATATTTTACCCTTTAAATTGTTATATCAAAATAGGTTCAGCATATGTCAATAATGCACTCCTTATATTTCCTCAACCATTATACTTTATATACATCAAAGAAGTCAAAAATGATGTTATATAAACATTATTGTTTTGGGAAAAACATTTCTCAATTTCGTCAAGAAAACCATTGTCCTAAGTAATCTTTTCAAATTCCTAAAGGAATCTAAAATGTTGTATTTCATAACCATTAGAGTCAGCAATTTGAACAAATTTCATCTCTTAAAATCTCTTATATCAATAAAGGATGTTATCCCCCATTGCCCATTAACATAGCAAAATTAGTAGCTACAAGCAGATAACAAATCTCGATCCATTTAATAATAAATTAATAAAAACCCACAATTGGTTCACCTTATGAAAATTGAAATTCTCTCGAATGTAGGTTGGATATTGTGCATGGTAAAATTAAGGTTGCATGATTTTCGGAGGGATATAATAAAATCATATTTTAATGATATCTATTGGCACTGCCGTTTTTAAGTACTAGCTCCACGGTATAATGTTTCAAGCACTAGTTTGACTATATAATGTAAACGGGTAATTGATCCACAAAATACAACTCAAATGATACTAGGATCATATTTTATCTTATCTCAATCAACATGTGTACGTCTAGCTCAGACAATCGCCAAATTTTTAATAGAAAATGACGAGTTTGGAACATATGAATAATTGAGTAATGATTTTGTAACTTTTAATAGTCGGAAGACTTAACAAAACAACGCTCTATAATCGAGGGATCATTTTGTAACTTTTAATAGTTAAAGAACTCAATAAAGCATAGTCCTATAGTCAATATATTATTTGTATATTTTACCCTAAACTTTATTTTTAGTTAGCTTCTTTATGTATTTTCATTTAATGCACACTAGGTGGAACTTTTGTAAAACCAATAACATTAATGATACTTTAATAGTTAAGACCAAACATAATACTTCAATAGTTGTGTTTAAAAGATATTTGACTTCGTACTGGTAGATCTAGAAATATTTTTGAGAGTATATATATATATGTAAATAATATAAAATTTTTGAATAGATGAGCATAAACAAAATTTCAGGGTAGGCATCATCAATAAAATATGTGATTAGTCAAAGAAAATTTAGATTTCAAGATAGACACTATTAAATTTTAAAATAAACATTATCAATAAAATAGACGACTAACTAAAAAAAATTTGAGCCTCTATGCATCCGCCACTTATTAGGGACAATGTCTTCCTGGAGACTTTGGCAAATAAGATTTTTTTTTTCTATCGGATGTTAGACGGCAAAATAATTTTTCTATTTTTTACAGCTTAACAGAAAAAAAGAAGGGAAACTTTATGGATCCAATAAGATATACGTAGAGAAATTTGTACCTAATTAAAGTGTGAAGAAGGTGACATGACATTCAACTATGTAGTTGAAGTTTTCGGCCGTAGGAAAGGTAAGACAAATGATTAGTGACGAAAACGTAATAAATGGTGGGCCAATTGGTAGTTGGTTGCCCACATGGATTTGTAGCCGGCCTTTTTCCCAACTCATTTTTAATTTGTTTCTCGGGATGTCTGCACTTTAAAATAATACTTATTGTCATATATATATATCAGTCGAGACATGAACGTCAATATATCAATCGCATTGTTCACTCCTCTCCTAATTGGTTAAAAGATAATCTCTCATGTACGTTCCAATATTAATATTATAGTGTCGATCAAAAGGACGTTACATGAAAGATTTGGGATTTTATTTAACAGCCGCACAACGTCCAAATTATTTGTCTCGACCATAACTCTTCAATATCCAAACCTTCATGTATGTTTTAACGCATTAGGAATCGCCCACAATTTCGTAGTTAATATCAAGCAATTTTCAAGATTTCTAGTAAAGCCAAATAGTCATTTTTCTTGAGCATTTCCAAACACAACCCGACAGCAGTCGCACGATCGCAATTTCGAACAAGCCCAGAGTTTGACGGGACGATCACCCCCTTATTATCTCCTCCGCAATCCACTATAGTGCTTTCTTGTTCGATAAAGTTGTTGAAGAGCTTGGCATTGTGAGCTTTGCAAAGATTCCAACAATATCGATACCTTGTTGAAATTTTAGTAAGATATTTAATGTAATAATTGTAAATTTAAAATGTCCAATGCAATATCGAAACCTTGTTAAAATTTTCAATATGATACTTAAATTATCTTTTTCTTTTTTTACATTATTATGATATTTGGTTCCTAAATTATCATTTTTTGCATTTATTATAATACTTGGTTAACATTATTAATAAGTGTTGTACTAAAATTATCATTTTGTAAAATGTTATAATATTGAGATGAAAACCGTAAGTATTAAATCAGTTAATAGAAATTTATAGGTATTATAATAATACATCAAATGATAGTTCAAGTATCAAATTAGATATTTTTCAAATAGTATGTACTAAAAAGTTTAAAAGTATAAGTATCGTATTGGATATTTCGATAAAACATAAATATCACATTATATACTTTGAAAGTTTAAGTACCACCACAGCAAAACTGTACATTTATGGCGTTTTTTTACTTATAGCAGCGTTTTTAAGCGTCGCAAAAAATACCTGCGGCGCTATGACAAACGCCGCAAAAAGCGCCACTGAAAATAGCGTCGCTAAAGCTCACGGCGTTTGGTAACAAAAAACGCCGCAATAGGTAACGATATATAGCGGCGTTTGTCCAACAAACGCCGCAATAGATGTTGATATTTAGCGGCGTTTGTCCAACAAACACCGCAATAGGTATTGATATTTAGCGGCGTTTTTCCAACAAACGCCGCAATAGGTGTTGAGATTTAGCGGCGTTTTTCCCACAAACGCCGCAATAGGTGTTGAGATTTAGCGACGTTTTTTCCACAAACGTCGCAATAGGTCTTGAGATTTAGCGGCGTTTTTCCCACAAACACCGCAAAAGGGCATATCTATAGCGGCGTTTTAAGATATAAACGCCGCTAATTACCTCTCTATAGCTAAAAGAAAATGATTTTGCAAATTAAAACTAATTTGTCAAATGTTGTTTTCTACTCTTTTATTACCCAAATTTAACCTGTAGCATTTTCCAATAAACTTGACATCCATAACAACAAACTTAAAATCCATAACAAGAAAATGAAATCCATAATAATAAATCAAAGTTTACATTAACGTAAAATATAATGTAGTTCAACATTATTAACTATAATAAACAATAATATCTAAGATATTTTGCTTCTAATCTTACACATTCTTCAAAACTCTTCGTCACAATGAGGCGCTTAAATTCAAAGTGATAAATCCAGTTTATATGGGAAAACAATGATACAGAGCTAGTATCGTCCTGTCATTTCTTGCACAGATATTTTGCTTCATAAGGTCTTACTCCAATTGGCATACCACTTGAAAAGGCCTCATCCATGGCAATGCAAACCCGATCTTAGTTTCATATCCAAATAATCAGTTTATATGAAAATCCATTATATCTTACGTTAAAAAAGTTAACAACACATTTCTGCATAGTCAGTCCCAGCAGTCAACAACTCTATGGCATGGGCAACCATCATGATGATAAGAAAAATATAGAGATAGATTTAATAATTGTGCAGAAACCAAGCTTGAATTTCATGATAACTTCTAACAGCTTATCGGACCAAACATATTTTAAATCAATAGCACCTAGAAAAAGGCTCCAAAACTACATTCCTAACAAATAGAAAGATATAAAGATGGAAATATGACAGCTTACCAAGGACCAAATCCTTTCAAGCATTCTGCTAAAACAACCTGAGAACAGACAAAAGCACAATCTAACTTAAAGATAAGGAAGCAAAAAGAGAATTTAACGGAGATTGTAAATTAATATTTTATCCCCATTTGTCACCTCAGTATTTTCCCCAAGAATTTCAATTATAAGCCCCATCAACTTATGTGCAGAGGCCATTGGTTTCAATTGAATGCTTTTCTGTGCCAAACTGTACATGCTTTCTAACCCCTAACAGAAGAAAATAAATAAACGAGATATGTAATACAAGGAAAGTACATACCACTGTGAATGGCCTGATGTATAACAAGTGAGAAATATATAATTCTATCCAATGGCATGTTGTAGAGCAGAGACTATTAGCATTACCCAACATTATTTGTAACATACTTCTCAAACCCTGATGACTCTGCTGGTGAGCACACTGAACATTATTTGTAACATACGAGATATGTAACATACTACTCATTAGCGGACACTTCAAACAATGCCATTTAAAAATGAAATTCGTTCAAGTGTATATGAACTGAATGATTCTCTGTATGATGATTAAGCTACATACTTTTGATTTACACATAGTGTACAACTTTTGAATCTTTCTTCTTAGCAAGAATTAAATCTAAACCCCTCAATAATATCTTTCAATAGCTGATCATGAGCAAAAACAAGCAGCAAAGTTAACTATGACAGACTATTGTAAACGAGTAAAACCAACATTTTGCTATCATTTTTCAACAAGAAACCATCATGTGAAACTACTATGTCTTTGAAACTCCCATGGAAGAACACATTGGAAAGGGTGGGTATTCTTACTTACCAGATGGAGTCTGAATAGCGCAAAAGAAGTGGAGGTTTCTTGAATTCACAGATCGAAGAATTGGAGCATTATCTGCAATCAATTCACAGCAAAATTAGCTCCCAACATTTCAAATATATTCAATGATTGAATTATTGTCTAAGCTTGAATGAGATTTTTAAATTGGCATGCCAAAATCTGGCGATTAGCTTTTATTTACTACAGTGTACAGATCAAAGATTCTGCTCATCTCTTACAGCCTGGAATAATTTGCCATTCATCTTATCACTCCTCCAGACGTTATCTTCATCTTAGAAATCCATGTCCATCAACTTTTAAAGCATACTTGCTTGAAATTCATTTCCAAGGTATGTATGGATATATATTCGGTATTTCACATTCACCGAAATCTATAGCTCCTCTTTTGAGCATGGTGCAATGAGATCACGGTTTTGTTTCACTGAAAGCATATAAGTTTTTATATCTGATTCATCTAAGTTTAGGTCATTCAAAGCTATAATGATTACAGGAAAATGGTGACCATTAGACATCACATTGTCGATAAATACACGTATAATATGAAAAGACAGTTTTGTTTCCAAATGAATTTTAATTAGTATTCCAATTGTAATATATAGGTTCAAATTCCCTGTTTAAAACCAGTTATTTTTTAGTGAGCTCTGAGGTTCCCTTGATTCGAAAATGCAAAGGACCACCATTAAAGCTCTGGCGATTAGCTTTTATTTACTACAGTGTACATGACCAAGTTAAAAGCTAAGTGCAACAGAAAGTTAAGCTAATTTGAGTGGTAGTATGAATCATTCATTGAAATTGTAAAAGCTAATTTGAGTCACCATTAGTTATATAGATAAATAAATTACTGCAGCAAGAGAATCTAAAGAAAAAAAACTATATAACAACATTGTTCATGGTATTTTATTGAAAATGAAATCAAATTTATTGAATGAAAAATCATTCAAAGAGATTATGGAATATAGATTACAATAAATTCCTGATTATGTTGGAAGCAATGTTTTCTAATAACCAAATATCACACCACATCTGATCACGATAAACGTGATTTTGAAAGCAAAAAATTAGGCTCGAAATTTGGAACATGTATTCATATTAGTTATTCATTAGGTAGAAGAATGCCTAGCACTGCTCTACAAAGCCAATGCTAAGTGTACATAATCTATCATTGTATTACATTTCCACATCAAACACTTTATCAATAATTAACAGAAACCACCCACTCTTATCTGATTGCCAAAAAAGGAAGAGCACGAAGCTTCATTGTTCTTTCCTACTTTTTTTCCCTGGAACAAATGGTGAAATATCTACAAAATTCTTCATTATGGACCCAAAACAACTACTGATCGGTAAGAGTATCAATAGTTAAATCTGTCTAACTAGTTCAGACGTTAAGGACTCATAATCCAAAGTTCCAACTGCCTATAAATTCCCCCCTTTTATCTTCTCTTTATCAGCTCTCGTTTGAATTCTTAGTCCCGTTTTAAACCATATAGCTAATTTTAGCATGGGTGGCATTCGAATAAGATCAAATCAAATACAAATTCTTAAAAAAATCATCTAAGACCAAGCTTAGGCTCTCATGGAATTCCATTTGGTAAAGCAGCAAAAAACATAGCTTTGAGATAGAAATAATAATTACCTGGTGTTGAGGTTGAAGATGATAATCTGAAAGCAAGCAGGAACCAGATCTAAAAAATCAAAGAAAAACACAGAGAGTTCTTTGAGAGTAAAAAAAACCCAACAAGAGGAGTAGATTGAAAGGGGAATGAAAGCTTTACACAGCGAAACAAAGCATGACAGAGAGAGAAGGGGGGAGTTAGATAGGGAAAAGAACAAAAGAGATAGAAAGGGTTGAGGGAATTGAAAGAGAATGACGACTGCCAGTCGTGCTTATCAGTAATGGCAGGAACATTTAAAGATGAATTAAGAGTAGAGCTTCGACAGAGTTAAAATTTTCTAGGGCAGCGACGGTGTAGGTGATGACGAGCAGTAGTATGAAAGGACCCTTCAAGCAGTAACGAGTAGCAGCAGTTGTTTTCGATAAAATTAGGTTTAGAATTCAATTTCAAGGGGGGAAATGTTCTCGTAGGATTTAAGTAACACCTATTGCGGCGTTTGTAACAAAACACCGCTAATGTACTTATCATTAACGGCGTTTTTAGATATAAACGCCGCAAAAAGGATAAATATATAGCGGCGTTTTTAGATACAAACGCCGCTAAATACCTTTATTTATATAAGATTAACATATTTTAAATATTTCTTTTCTTCTATACATAACCTAAAGTTACAACCATACATTTTAATTAAGACAGAAGTACTTATGCATAAAACTACTTAACAACAAAATACATTATAATTTAGAAACATTAAAGTACTTATGCATAAACAATCTTCACCATACATTATAATTTAGAAACATTAAAAGTACTTATGCATAAACAGTCTTCAACATACATTATAATTTAGAAACATTAAAGTACTTATGCATAAACAGTCTTCACCATATTTTCAGTACAATTTAGTCTTCATTGCTCCTCGTGGGGAAAGGACGTAGGAAAGCTGTTTTCCTTGTTTGACGACGCATCGTTAAGTTTTTCCTCCGTGTAAATTCTATATGGAGAAACTCTTCATCCATTTCACCAAATAAATCTCCTACCTCCGGTTCACCAAGAAGACTCCTTGCGCGCTTCAGTGCTTCACTTGAAACAGATAACGACCCTCCACCTACATTATAAAACTTGATTGGAGGTGCTTGGGAATTGAATTAAACATTAAAATATATTTAACAGATGATATAAACGTTTACTTGGGTAACAGTAGAGGCAACACCGTCTTCATTGAGGATCGATACTGCTTGCAATTGAAGATTCTTTCAACGCCATAGAGTTACCAAATCGTTTCTAAAACATAGGGTATTATCCATTTCTCTATCATTCTCATAAGCTTCGAAGATCCTACATGCGTACGATCTATGAAATTTGAGTGACCGTACAAAAAGGGAAATATAGCGACATAAAGATTCATAGAATTTTACCTTCAAGTAGGAGATCGGCCATGGAAGGGTATGGAGCAATATGAGTTCCTGTCGAGTCATCATCGAGTTTCGACGGCGAAACCGGACCGATAGCCTCCCAGCGATATTTGATCCATCGTCAGAGCAAAGACGCCACGTAGACATTCCGACGATAATTTCTCTTACTCAAGGCAAGACCTGTTCTTTTTTTCTCAAATGTTAGCTGTTAGCTTTCTGGGTTTTCCCCATTTCAGAATACCAACCAAAACAAAATTGAAAAAGATCATTAGTGATAAGAGGGATCAAACCATGGAATTGTGTTATAGTTCGTCGGTGAGAGGGCCGATTTGGTCGCCAGGATAGACAAAAGACGATGTCGCTTGGAATCGTGTGAGGGTCATTGTTCTACCAGAGAAGAAACTATGAGGGAAGAAGAGTTGAAATGATTTTAGGGTTGGGTGGGAGAAAATGGAGGACAATATATTTAACATTTTGCGGCGTTTTTAAAAAAACGCCATATATCCATGTTTTACGGCGTTTATACAAAAAACGCCGCTAATTTACCACTCTATTGCGGCGTTTTTGGTATAAACGCCGCTAAATGTTAAATATATTACGGCGTTTTAGCTAAAACGCCACTACATGTCTACTATATTGCGGCGTTTTTACTATAAACGCCGCTACATGTCTACTATATTGCGGCGTTTTTACTATAAACGCCGCTATTGTTTAACCTTTCTGTGGCGTTTGTCTAAAAACGACGCAAAAACTATTATTAATTACGGCGTTTGTTGAAAAAACGCCACTATATACCATCCTATAGCGGCGTTTTTGTTAACGCCGCTATATTTATACTCTATTGCAGCGTTTTCACAAAAAACGCCGCTAAAGTCTCAATTTGTGGCGTTTGGATTGAAAACGCTGCTATATGTAATACTTTTGTGGCATTTTATCAACAAACGCCGCTAAAAACGCCGCTACAGAACAATTTTGCTGTAGTGCACGTTAAATATAGTATCATATTACATGTACAAGATATGATATAATCCTATCTTTTTTTTATTAATATACAATTATTACAAGTAGCATTACTCTTAACCATTTGACAATAAATGCTTAAATATCTTGCAGTTGCTGGTGTTCGAACCTGAGATCTTTAGGGATAATCACCATTCTTTGCAATATAATACCTTATTTTTAAAACACTATTTCACCATTCATTTATTTTACGCTTTTGTTTTGATCAACTAATGATCACCATATCGATAGAATATAATTAAATAATTTTTAATGTTAGTGATAAAGGGAATCAAACTATGACCATTAGTTTAAACATATAAGTTATGTTAATTTCATAAAAAAAATTATATATAAGTTATACTATATTATCACCACACACAAAAAAAACTTTAAGAACCAAACCCCAAAAAAAGGAAAGAGAAAAAAACCAGGTACTAAAGAATCTAAACCATGGAGCATAGATATGGGACGGTGGAAACAACATTAACACACCAAGAACTAAGGAAATAAAGCCACCGATGTA